CGCGCGTGGACGACGCGCTACGGCAATTGAAGCTTGAAGCGGCGCACTACGACACCTACTTCACGACATGGAAGCTGAACTCAACAGGTGACACATACCTCTTATGGTCACACGTCTATTGCATGAAGCCTTATTTGCCGCCAGCGCGCTTACCTTTTACAATGAGGTTTCTCCATGCAACGCATTGTTTGGGCGGCAACCAGCGATGCTACCCGACTTGCCCGTTCTGGACCGTGAACAGCAGACAGAAACATCCGACCATTCTCGAGAACCAGTTTTCCGCCAGGCAAGCATGCAGGCTATTATTCCAGCCATTGCAGTAGCCAAAACCAATCGTGCACTACGGACCAAGACCACTATCACGGGTCAGCAGTACTACGGCGAAGGAGATCTGTTTGACTATCATCGCCCCACTACTACAAGGGACGACTGGGGAGGCTGGAATGGCCGTTTCCCAGTCGTACGAAACGATTTCGACAGGGGTTAATTCATTGTCAGAGTGGGGAACCGCGATGTGCAAGTACAATGCGGCGACGTACGACATCCCCTATTCATCGAAGCTTTGATCGCTCGAGAAATTGGCTCAGACAACGCTGCACTACGGACTGCGTTGCCCTTCGTAGCCAGTCTACCTGCGGGGCGACCTGCTATGGAATTTGGTTATATCCCGGCCAAAAAAGGAATGCTCAAGATGACAAGTGCGAGCCGATTCATCTCCTACAGCACAGTTAGATCTTCAATACCTCATCAGAAACTTCCTTCGCATCGGGAACGTAGCCTCCGTCAGGTTAGCTAAGAGTATTCACAAGCTACCCCCGGGGGCTTATGCTGACAGTTGTGCACTGGCGCACTACGACAGCGACGTGAATCCAGGCTTCCACGATTACGAAGCCGAAAGTACTGCCTTGAACACACTGGATCAGCACATTCGAGGATCATCCAACTCCTGAAGCCCACTAAGCCTCATGCGGGTTTCGACCAAGACGTGGCGATGTTTGAGGATGTGGCTGACGTGCCGGAACAAGACAACGACGCCAGAGAAGCTTCAGAGGCCGAACCACCGCAGGAGGACGGACGGCTTCCTGCTATGCATGAGGAATCAAAAGCGGACCTCGAGGCACATATCGTGGACGCGCGGTGCACATAACTGCACGAGGAAAGAGAGCTACTGGAGGCAACTCCAACAGACGACCTCTACACTGCACCCACACAGGTGATCACCGACAACAGCGCGCTGGTCACAGTAGCTGAAGAACAGCGGGGGCACCTACCTACGTGGGGTAACCCACGTGATATCGACACAACGGAGACATCTCATGTCCCGCTGTGCTCCACGGACGAACACGACGCTTATGGACTGGACGTCGACGAGCATGGACAATCTATAGAACGTTGCTTCACTGTAGACATGTCAAAAGTAGTCCTATCCGAAACCAGCACCATATTAAACTTCGACTGCGTGACCACTATGCGAGTGGATGCGACCGCTGCAGCAAAAGGAGATGTAGTCGCTAAGGAAGACGACCTCCTCACGAAGGCCGACATCCAGTCGAATCCAGTCAATGTATCTAAAGCCCTACACACTGAACTCAAGACATGGTTTGGCAACGAGTGTTTCAAAATGCAAGACATACCAAAGGCGTCAAACATCACGACTTCGAGGTACGCATATAAGTGGAAGTCCGTCATGAACGAGTGGCAAGATGGAACGGACCATTATTAGACTACGCCTGGTGCTTCGGGGGTTCATGGGCCTCGAAGCCTTCGACGTGGAAATCTTCAGGAACGGCGCGATGGCCAAGTAATGGGCAACTTGCGAACACGGCCGCGCGCAATAAGCAATGGATCATTGCACCCCTTGACACCAACAAGGCTTACCAAGGAGGGACTTACCTATCAGGAACTTGCTGAAGCAACCGGTGCAAAGGAAGGTACGGCGCGCTTTGCACTGCCGCCTGGATTGGCATCTGCGCTTAGACCCTTTCCAGGATTTGAGCACTACGGGAAGTCGAAGCAGTGCTTGCAGTGCCTCAAACCAGGGGCACCAGGGGCGCGCCAAGAGCCTCCTCGCTGAAGCACAGAAAGACCACGAGAGGGCTTGGTCTCAGACCCACGTCCTACGACGAGGAGTTCGAGACAAGTTCCAACCTTCTCACAGCCAAGCACGTTGATGACATCAATATGACCGGCGCTGAGGGCACCATCGACAGGTGCGTCAAGTGTGCCGAGGATACTTTTGGCAAATGTAAACTCAACAAACACACGCCTACCAATTGCGCTGTGAGCCACGCACAGGATGGGGACAGTAACGTTACACTTGATTAGGACGAATACATCAAGCAGCTCCGTCTTAGACAGCATCCTGAACTCGCTGGCGCAGACGCTGACGCCAAGGCGTCAGAGATGGTCACTGACATGTTTGTCAGCCTCAAAGGCACTTTGGCCCACGCCTTAATCACACCGGCGTGGTTCATGGTATCTGGTGTATCCCTAGCACGCGACCAAGAACCGACCATGCAAGTGCGACGACTGAACGCGATTACCAGAAAGTGCCAGGCTTGCCCTAAGAAGATCGCCAACCAATCGATGATTCCAACGGGCGAGGTCGACCTGCACAGCGACTCCGGTTACCGGTGTCTTAGGAGAGATGCCGAGGACGTGGTCAAAGGCTATGGTACTCGCGGTGCAAACCTGTTACGGCGTGGAAGCACGCCTGCAGGTAAGCCCGTCGTCCATCTTATCGACGCGCATTGTCGCCGCTTGCATGTCCGCTCGGGCTACTCAGCGGAAACACTTAGCAGCAGCTCACAATTTGGAGGACTGCTATCTCACGACCGTCACTCTGCATGAACTCCACGGACGGCCGCTGACACCCACGCAGTTGAAAGATATACTGTGGACGGGCGGCCTGAGCATTAACGTCATTTGACCATCGATGCAGAGTATGTCGCCCAGTCCTTGCCAAGCAAAGACTTGAATAAACCGACTGAGTGTACTCTTTTGGGACACGTAAGTCGGATACGACAGAGAATGGAGCGAGGTATCGCGCATAGTGTACAGTGGTGTGACAATCGCGACATGACTGCGGACGGCCACACCAAATCGAGCATCGACAGAGATATGCTTTTACAGGTAATCGGAGGAACGCAATCCTTCAAGCACGACCTCAAACGACATACTCCGTACAAGGCTGGCCAGACAAGATCGTTTGAACCGCCTGAGGAGCAATCGCCTTGAAGGCAATTTGCTTGCAAGGGCACTTGCGTGCGGGCCAACCTTCCTTGTTGAGCCCGCCTGTTGCTGCCGACCTTGTGTATATAGCGTTTTAGTGTATAGCAGGCGGCGGACTCACGTTTCGTCTCCTCCCCCCCGGCTCCAAAGGAAGCTGGGCCAAAGGCGAGAGATAGCGAGCGTTGATCCGCGGCCGTTTGTTCTCAAGCGGCCGGCCACAAACACATTGCGCTTCATTGCGAGGCACACTACTTGTCATCGAGACCGAAAACACTTTCGCTTGACATGGCCCGTCGCTCCCGCGACGATCTCCTTCTTCTGGGACTGTCGTTATTACGGTACAACAGAGTTGGATATGGGCGTCGCCTTAGGCGAAGGTTCCGGCTGGGCCTCCCAACCCTTTTTCAAACTCCCCCTACCCCGCCGGTCCCACACCTGTGATGTGTCCGCCTGCTACCCCCTCCCTCGTCTTACAACCCCTCCTCCGCCACAATTTCTTCTCGCCAGGTTCCCTTCCTTTTTCTCTCGCCTCCTCTCATCTTTGCCCCTCGTCTTCGTCTTCGTGCTCGGCCTCGTCCCCCTCGTTGACATCTCCCTCCTCCCTCGTCGTCGTCCTCTTCGAGAGTCTCCACGGGTCCCCAGAGGTTCCTCGATGCCCTGAGGTCCATGAGGTTTCTGGACGCGAACAAAATTACAAGAACGTTGAGTCCCCAGGGACGCATCCAACCCATCTGCAATATGTGGCAAGGCTATCGGGCCCAACCAAAAACGAAAAACCTTTTGAAGCTGTAAGATGTCATAGGTGAAAGCGAAACAGCGGTCTAACTTATTGCACACATCCCGGGACTTGGGTAGACCGCGCTCCCCTGGACCCACGAGGTCACGCAAGCGGCAAACATTTACACAGCTGGCACCAATCGCGACGTCGAGGTCTAGGTTGTGTTTTGGGTGGAGACCGCAAGCCGCGGGACTTTCCAGGAGCACGACGGTGGCGACAGTTGTACGGATGGCATCGCCCAGGGAGACGAGGTCTAGATTGGCCACGTTTACAAGCGCCCTCCGCTGGACCGCCTGTCAGCTCACGCAAGTGGCCACCTTACGCAGTTGGCACCTCCCACGGAGGCGACGTGTAGCCTGCATTTGATAGGACCGCCCACCGCCGGACCCCCCGCAAGCTCGCGCAGGACGCGACAGCTGAACCCCAGGGCGGCGAGGTCTGGTTCTAACTTGCTTGCGTCCGCATCCCGCCGCATTCCCCACGCTGACGAGCCTGGCGATCGTCGCGCAGTTGACATCTCCAAGGGCGGCGAGGCCTGGGTTCGATATGAGCAGAGCAGCTCTTCGCTGGACCCCGCACAAGCGCTTGCAGGCGACGACAGACTCCTTCACCTTTTCTCCTCCCCCTCATCCTCCAGTTGGTCACCCGCGGATGCGAGGGCCAGTTTGAGTGTGGGTCGGAAGGCCACCCGCTGGACGTCCCACAAACTCACGAGCGTGGCGGCAGTCGCGCAGTTGACGCCACCCAGGGCGGCGAGGCGCGTTGTCGATGTGAATAACACCACACTCCGCAAGACCCCCGCTCCCAAGCTCACGCGAGCGGTCACAGCTGACCGCAGCTGGCAGCACCCAGAGAGTCGAGGTGGAGATTGGAGGAAGCAGGCACGGGCAGCCGTGCTCTTCTCAGAGCGAGGGCCTTTCACGGGAGGGTTGACGGGGGGGGGGCATAGTGCATGCAAGACGTCCGCTGCCCAGTCGCGCCTATAGGTGGCACTCAGATTCAACCCGTCCGCGCCGGGGCGCATCGTGCAGCAGCTGGACTTCCCCAGGTCGGAAGCAGCATCGCCCCTGAGGCCCTTTCGGCGCGCGCGACGTCGTCGTTTGTCTTGGCATCGCTCGGACGTGTGCATTTTTCCTTCGGCGAGAGCCGTCAAGAAGCATCCTTGATCATTTGGCGAAAAAACCACGCACGAAACCAAAAAAACACAGGAAATGGACGTCCGAGCGATGGCCAGTTGTCGGCGTCGTAGGTGCTGTCGCCAGTTTCGTCGGTCGACCATCGTCGTGGGTCACCGCCCGTCGACCATCGTCGAAGGTCGTCGGTCTTGGCGTCTTCGGCCGCTGTCGCCGCCGGTCGTCGCCCTCGCCGCACGAAGACGGGAATGGGGGGGCAGAGGGGGAGGCTGGAGGCCTGGTGGCGGCCCCTGGAGGCCCGCTGGAGGATGGAAGGGCCCAGAACTCCGGCGTCGTGATCTCTCGACGATGCGGGCCCCCTGGACCTCTGGGCCACATTCCTGGAGGCGGTTCTTTCGTCGCGGGTGTGTTTGCTGTTGACCTTGGGCCCGAGACGGGCTTCCAGAGCCCCAGAATGTTCAAAGGCCGGCCATTGTGCTGACCTTATTCTCGACGCTTCGGAAGTACCGAGGGCGACCATGACGGTCACGACGACAGCGACGATGACCACGACGACGACGACGACGACGACCATGACGACGACGACGACGACGACGACGACGACGACGACGACGACGACGACGACAGCGGCGGTGGCGGCTGCGACGGCGGCGGCGGCGGTGGTGGCGGCGGCAGCGTCGGCGAGCAGCAACCGCAAGAGAGCCGCCCCAGGAGCAGATGCGCCAGCCTGGGCAGGAGCTTGGCATCGCTCGGACGTGTGAATTTTTCCTTCGGCGAGGACCATCGAGGAGCATCCCTGATCATTTGGCGAAAAAACCACGCACGAAACCGAAAAAACAACACAGGGAATGGACGTCCGAGCGATGGCGAGGGAGCAGGAGCAGGAGCAGCAGCACCAGGAGGAGGGGAGCCCCGCGAAGACAAACATGTGCGCAAACACACAACGTGTCGCCGGCCCGCGCGTCATTCGTTGGATCGGCGCTGGAAGCCCCCTCTGGCGGTGCCTCCCGCGCCGCCCCTGGACCCCGCCCGCGCGCCAGGAAAATCCAGGTCAGGCGCCGAGCCAAGAAAGCCGCGCAGGCCTCCGAGATTCGGGGGCGGACAGAACCCCCAACAGTGACACGTCGATTAGTGAATTGTCCGTTTTCGGTTCTCGAGATGGCGCCGCGGCCGTTATTTTCCAGGCTTGCGCCCGCCAGGTTTGGGCCTCAGGTCGTTTTCACTAAACCACGTTTTACTAAAGGGGGTTCTGTCCATCCCCGAGAGATTGCATGCTCGCGCAAGTTTTGGTGTTTCGATCCCTCCAGTCGGCGGCGCAATCCGAACCCCACCTTCGCCGATCAACGACTCTGGCAACTCGATGAGCGGCGGGCGGAATTCGTCAGGCACGTGGCGGAATCCGAACCCACCCCCGCCCCCATCGATTAGGAGAGTCGATGGCTGGTGGTGGGCAGGGTTCGGATGTCACCACCTGCCCAGCTCGAGGGCACTGCGAGCATACAAAGTCCCAGAGGCGCCCGAATCCATGCGGCATGGCCCCTGCTGGGGCGTTGGGTCGGCCGGGCCTTGTCGCGCTGCCGCCGATGTCCGACGTTCGTGCTGGCGAGTTTTCGCTTATGAAGTGGGTGTGCCTTCGAGGGAAACGCGACAGGAAAAGGAGGAGGATACCTCTGGAGACTCTGGAAGGCCAGATCCTGACAAAATAACATTATCCCAGTGCGACCCTACCTAGGAGTTGGAGCATCTAGGAAAGCAACATATACATCTACACCGACAGCTACATTAACATATATGATTTGCTTTGCTGTTGCTGATGTTGCTGTGCCTTTGCGCTGCTGCTGTGCTGTGCTGTGCTGTGCTATGCTATGCTTTGCTATGCTGCGCAATGCTGCGCCATGCTGCGCTATGCTATGCTATGCTATGCTAGAGTACGCTCGGCTGCGCTGTGTGATGCTATGCTATGCTATGCTGCGCTATGCTATGATATGCTATGCTGCGCTGTGCTATGCTATGCTGCGCTGTGCTAGGCTAGGCTATGCTATGATATGTTATGATGCGTTATGCCATGATATGCTATGCTATGCTGCGCTATGCTGTGCTGTGCGATGCTATGCTGCGCTGTGCGGTGCTAAGCAATGTTATGATATGCTATGCTATGCTATGCTATGCTGAGCTATGCTATGCTATGCTTGGCTATGCTATGCTATGCTATGCTTGGCTGTGCTAATGCTGCGCTGCGCTTTGCTGCGCTGCGCTAAGCTAAGCTAATATTAGCTAAGCTATGCTAAGCTAAGCTAGGCTAGGCTAAGCAAAGTTAAGCCAAGCTAAGCTGAGCTAAGCTAAGCTAGGCTAAAGCTAAGCTAAGCTAAGCTAGGCTAGGCTAAGCTAGGCTAGGCTAGGCTAAGTTAAGCTAGGCTAAGCTAAGATGAGATCAGCAACGCCAAGCTAAGGGGACGTAACTGGGGGAACCGCGGGGCGGATGCCGGGGGAACCGCCCGTGGCGATTAGCACTGCACGGCCCTTTAAGCACACAAGGTAAGAACCCTTCTAGGCAGAGCCTAGGTAGGGAATCAGACTCCTGGATGGACGTTCGGAGCTCCCCTTTCAATCCTCGAGGGTCGAGGGTGTAGAAAACGATCCAGCAGGGTCGAGAGCAAGCTTTAGCAGCATGAGGGGGAGGATCCGTCCAGCCTCGCTCCCAGGCCCCAGGCACCGTGGCCGACGCCGCGGCCGGACCAGCCGAAGGACAAGGCGGCGGGCGCAGCTGGCGACGGCGAGCAGGATGACGAGGACCATCTCTCTCTTGTCCTCCTCCTCTTGCTCCTCTTCTTCCTCCTCCTCCTCCTCTTCAGTTTTCCTCCTCCTCCTCCTCCTCCTCCTCCTCCGTCCTCCTGCTCAATCTCATCCACTTTCCTCCTTTTCCCTCCTCATCCTCGCTCCCTCCTCCTCCTTCCCGTTCTTCCTTTTCCCTCCTCATCCTCCCTCCCTCCTCCTGCTCCTCCTCCTTCCCTCCCTCATCCTTCTCCTCCCTCCTCTTCCCGCTCCCTTGTTTTCCCTTCTCATCCACCTTCCGTCCTCTTCCTGCTCCTCCCCCTTCCCTCCCTCATGATTCACATCTCTCCTCCTGTCCCTCCCTCCTATTCCCCCTCATCATCCCTCCCTCCTCCTCCTGTTCCTCCTCCTTCCCCTCCGTCATCTTTCTCCTCCCATCTTCCTCCCCTCTCTCATCCTCCTGCTGCTCCGACTCTTGGACAGCATGCTACAATCAATTGTCGACCGACAGCACTTTGACGACCAAGCCAGCTTCCGATCCGTCCAAGGCCCGTTTGACCACCTCTTCGTCTTCTAGATATTACGAGAACTTGCAGCTGAACGTCATCAAAAAGTACATATGGGTAGCAAACGTGGATTTCAAAAGGCTGCCAACACAGTTTAACACGATAGCTTGTGGGCAGCTCTACTTTACCGGGGTGTCCCCCTGGGCACCTGGGTGTGTAGACCTTTTCCAGCCCCCTCTAATCACCGCGACCAGACCGCTATTGCGCGCACCGACGCCACGAGCAAAGTATTCGACCTCTGTCGCGGCACAAAACAGGGATACCCCTGTAGTTCATTGGGCTTCAACAGGCTGCTCCAACATGTTCTAGCATACGTGTCTCAGCACTTGGCACCGCCGATTACAGATTAGCAGAGACGGTACCACGGCATCCAATTGCGGCACATCGACGCGCCGACAACCACAGACCGCCAGCTTGCAGACACCAGATCACCGACAAACCCAGGTTTGTCCAATCTGAGGGCAACTTTTTCGGGCTGGGTCATTTCAGCCGAGCTGAGCCACAGCTTGGAATTGCACCCGACTAGAGCCCAAAGTACTACCAACCAGCTTGGGCAGTGCGACCGACTGGCCAAAGTACAGCCAAGATGCTGAAATAATGACCGCTTTGGGTTCGGAAGGGGCTCGGGGATTTGGGTCGTTTCTTAGATTTATGTCGCGGGATTTGCTTGTGGCCTAGGCCCACCGTGGCCAGAAAAGCCCCTTTGTTCCTTATTTGGCGTTCCTTCTGCTAGTACCTCGACTGTATGAGGGATGGACGCCGTTATCACCAAGAACCAGCACCATCATTTACCTCGGCCGCGCGGACCGGTCCATCAGCCTCGCGACGCCCCCGAAACAGCATGGGTCTGCTTCAGCGGCCACAGGCAAGAGTTCACCAACAAACATTACCCACAGGTCACCGACGGTCACTGTACAGAGGCACCGTCGTACCCACTATGACACACGGCGCAGGACCGTGGAATCCCGTTGAGCCCCTCAGACTTTAGATAGCAGCTATGCCGAACACAGCGACCTATGCTCAGCATGAGAAGTGGAACGCCAAGGAGGCGAACGGCTGCACCACCACCACCACCACGCCACTAAGACAGACCACGCCACTAAGACAGAAAGACACTGATGCCGGCCATCTTCTGCCTTGCTTCAGTGGCGCGGGCGCTATTCTACACACTCCTGCGAGCCGTCGCAGATCGACTTCGAGTCCCAGAGCGTACGGCATCCCCGCTCGTCAACTTTATCTCCACCCCCTGACTGCCCGTGCTCGGCTTGCAGGCCCGGCCGCACATTTGCCGCCACTTCTTGCACTTCGCCCTCGAGCACTGCTTCGTGTTCGTGTTTTTCTACATCGCGGTCTGTTCATCACCATCATCATGGCCAGCAGCGCATCATTGCGATTCTCACGCCCTTGGGTGGCGCGCAGCAGCACGACGACGCTCAGCCCGACGATGCACAGCACGACCGACTGCAGCAGCCACACGACAAGATGCAGCACGGCTTGTCATCAGCGCGTTGGGCACCAGCAGCTTCGACCTCTAAGTTCCCCTTCTGCCGTGCGGGAGCGGATAGGCCGGCACGCCGAAAATCGCGGATAGGCCGGTACACCACTTTGTCTCCCACGGCTTTGACCAGTAGCGCAGTGCGCAGCAGCACCATCGCCTCCTCGCCAACGTCATCCCCTTCGTTGGCACCAACGCCGGCGCCTACGCCGACACCTACGCCGGCGCCCGCACCAGCACCGACGCCAGCACCGACGCCAGCACCGCCGCCATCGTCCCACCTTTGAGTACCCCTTCCGCCGTGCGACGGCGGATGCGCCAGCACTCCGAAAATCGCGGATAGGCCGGTACACCAGTTTGACTCCCACGGCTTGGACCAGCAGCCCAGCGCGCAGCAGCACCAACGCCCCTACGCCAGCGCCAGCCCTTACTCCAGCGTCAACGCCGGCGCATACGCCGACACCTACGTCGGCGCCCACACCAGCACCGACGCCAGCACCGCCGCCATCGAATCACCTCGGAGTTTCCCCTGCCGCCGTGCGATAGCGGATGGGCCGGCACGCCGAAAATTGCGAATAGGCCGGTACACCATTTTGACTCCCACGGCTGAGACCAGCAGCGCCACGCGCAGCAGCACCAACGCCCCTACGCCAGCGCCAGCCCCTATATACGCCAGCATCAATGCCGACGCATACGCCGACACCAACACCGGCTCCCACACCAGTACCGAAGCCAGCACCGACGCCAGCACCGTCGCAATTGAACAACCTTTGAATACCCCCCCTCCGGGCGGTAGCGGATGGACCGGTACGCCGGAAATCGCGGGCTGGCCAGTTCAACGTCCCCAGCGGCGCGCCGTGCAGCAGCCCCACTGCAATCTGCAGCACCAGTGCACCTCGAGCTCGACGAGGGGATCCAGTTCCAGCGACGGCAGGACGACGGTGAGCAGCATGTGCTCGACGGCCAGCAACTGTTCCTAGGATGCGACGTCCACCACCAGCTCGACGAGTGCTTCCGGTCCCAACGACGCGAGGTTGCTGAGCGGCTCGAGGACTAGCACGACCTCCACGGGTTCGACGAGGGCTTCCAGCAGCGCGACTACGCTGGGCGCCACCACGAGTTCTACGAATGCCCGCCACCGCCATCACGAGCAGGGGTACGGCCACAACGACCAGCACCAGAATCATTCCACGTCCACTTCAACCTGTTCTTCTCCAGCTTCGAGAACCCCGCTGGGGACGCTTGGGGACATCCGCCAGCGCAGCGGCGGCGAGCATCGCGCAAGTTACCAAAGGCATCACCGACGATATCTACAGCACCCACGCCTACGCCGGCACCAACGTCAGCGCCTACGCCGCCGTCGACGCCAGCACCGACGACAGCACCGACGCCGGCGCCTACGCCGGCATGAATGCCAGCGTCTACAGTAGCACCAGCGCCAGCATCGACTTCAGCACCGACGCCGGCACCAACGTCAGCGCCTACGCCGCCGTCGTCGCCAGCACCGACGACAAAACCGACGCCGGCGCCTACGCTGGCATGAACGCCAGCGGCTACAGTAGCACCAGCGCCAGCATCGACTTCAGCACCGACGCCTGCGCCTACGCCGGCCCCAACGCCAGCGCCTACGCCGCCGTCGACGCCAGCGCCGACGACAGTACCAACGCCGGCGCCTCCGCCGGCATGAATGCCAGCGTCTACAGTAGCACCAGCGGCAACATCGACGCCAGCGCCAACGCCTGCGCCTGCGCCGGCACCAACGTCAGCGCCTACGCCGCCGTCGACGCCAGCACCGACGATGGCACCAACGCCGGCGCCTCAGCCGGCATGAATGCCAGCGCCTACACCAGCACTAGCGCCAGCATCGACGCTGGCACCAAAGCCCGCGCTTACGCTGGCACCAGCGCCAGCGTCTGCGCCAGCACCCACGCCTGCGACTGCGCCAGCACCAACGCCATCGCCTACTCCAGTACCGACACCAGCGTCGACGCCAGCACCGACGCATGCACCTCCGCCTGCACCAGCACCAGCGCCTCCACCATCACGTCCAGTTGGGCGTCCAGTCCTTTACGTCCAGACCGTTACGTCCACCGCCTACAGCAGCCCCGACGCCAGCAGCGCCAGCACCGACGCCAGAGCTATCGTCGGCGCCTAATCCAGCGCCGACGCCAATACCGACGCCAGCATCAAGGCCTGTGCCTCGGCCAGCAGCAACGCCAGCGCCTACACCAGCGCCAACGCCAGAATGGACGCCAGCGCGAATGCCGCGCCCGCGCCGACCTCCGTTGCCAGCACCGACGCCAATGCTGGCGCCTCAGCCAGCGCCGACACCAGCACCGACGCCAGCAGCAACGTCTGCCCCTACCCCGGCACCGACGCCAGTGCCTACACCGACGCCGACGCCAGTACGGACGTGAGCTCCAACGCCGGCACCTCCAGCGTCGACGCCAGCATCAACGCCTGCAGGCACCAACGCCGGCGCCTGCACGTGCACCGACGCCATCACAAACGCCAGCACCTACGCCAGCGTCGACACAGGCACCGACGCCAGCATCCACGCCTGCGCCTCCGCTGGCACCAGCGCCAGCGTCTACACAAGCGCCGAGGCCAGCACCGTCGCCAGCACCAACGCCAGCGCCTAGGCCAGCACTATCGCCAGTGCCGTCACCAACCCCGGCCAGCACCGACGCCAGAACTATCGCCGGTTTCTGGCCATGGCCGACGCCAGCATTATCGCTTGAGCCTGCGCTAATACCATCGCCAGCGCCTACATCAGCGCCGACGCCGACACGAACGCCAGCACCGACACTGGCGCCCACGCCAGCACGAATGCCATCGCCAATACCAGCGCAGACGCAGGCGCCGACGCCGACACCCGACACCAATGTCAGCGCCTGCGCCAACACCGACGCCAGCACGGACGCGAGCACAAACGCAGGCGCCTCCTCCAGCGCCGCTGCCAG